TCCTTCTTGGATGGGATCCAGAGAGGGTCTCTGGAGCAGGTGGTCTCTGGAATGTCCGTGCTACAGGCAGCTGGGACACAGTGGCCAACTGGGGGCCAGCTGCTCAGCCTATCCCCTTGTCAGGCAAGGCCCCTCCCTTCTGTGTTTCCACAAAGGACTTTCTGTTTAGGGGCTGGGGTGGATGTTCAACCTTGGAGAAGTGGGTGAGGGACAGAGCAACATCTCCTCCTCTTTTGGAGGGGAGGGGAACCATGATTCCCATCCCTACTTGCTCACAGGCCTCAGAGTCCAGGAAGCCCCATCCAGCCCCACAAAAGCTGCCACCCTAGGGAGGCCAGTAAAGGAGGCAAAGGGGAAACTCTCCTCAAAAGATAAGGGAAGGAGGGACTGAGAAGAACTCCCAAGAACCACCTTGGAATGAGCTATTCATGATTATGCAATGCCCTGAAAGTAGTAAAATTTATGGCTGCTTCCATTTGAGAGCAACTCCCACACAGCTGGCACTTAGCTAAGCCCTTAACTTGCTTTATCTCTTTGAAGACCCAAGTACAGTGGTCAAGAGCTCAGACTACAATCAGACCTAACMGGCTCCCAGGTCAGCAGTTGTGTGGCCTTGGGCATATTTCTCAACCTCTCTGAGCTGAAGTTTCTTCATCTCCTGGGTCTGACCCCAGACCTCACAGTATGAATCACACTGTCCCCTGGGGCCACCTTCACTGCCTGGGCCTGCCAGGAGGAGCAAGGAGGGTAAAAGGGGAGAATGTTTTTCTTGCCAGGCAGCATAGCCTGGGGGTCCCAGGATCCGGACTGGCCGAAGCCCCTGACCCGCTTTGAACAAATGAACACAGGGAACCCTGAATCAGAGAACTCAGATGAGTCACTAGTCTCAGGACTCCTGGCCCAGTGTTTTCTCCACAGTAGTACCCTCAAGGAGACCATGGTTTTCTAGTATAGGCCCTGAGTCTTTCCCTCTTGACTGGGTATATATTCTGGAATACACCCAGAGTGAGTAAACTCACAGGGACAAAAAGCAGGTGGGTGGTGCTCAGGTTGGGGAAGGGAGAGAATGGAAAATAACTGCTTAATGCATTTGGGGTTTCCTTTTGGATTGATGTAGAACTAGGTTATCAAGTGGGGTACACACATAACAAATGTACTAAATGCCACTGAATTGCTCTTTTGAAGGGTAAATTTCATAATATGAGTTTCACATCTACTTTAAAGAGATGATAATACCTGTAGCTCATACCTAAGAAGGAGAAGAGGGGCTAGGGAAGGTATCTGAGGGGCTGAGGTCTGGGGTTGGGGACACTGCAGAAACTGGCAAGCTAGAGATAGGGGAAAGGTTTGAAGGGGAGGTTCCCCGCTGCAGGGAACAAAGCAGCCTTTGATCGGTGGACTGGGGGCCTCTGGGCTTTAGGGGAAGGAGAGAGAGCCCCCGAAGAGGGAATCTGGAAGGCCAAGGGTGTTAGCAGCAGAGCTGCTTGCTTCCTCTCTGACTGGAAGCTGCTGGAGCATGGGGGCAGGGACCTCACCCTTCCCACTGTGTTTAATTTTCAGAGCAGCAACCCAGGATACTTTTAAAAACCCTGGCACTAATGGAATGAAATTGAACACGTTAAGTTGCAGGAAGATCAGCCACCGCCCACACTAGAGAAGTGAGGTTAGCCCTGGGCTGAGCCCGTGGGGCCTCCAGGCAGTAGGGAGACTTCCCAGGGCAAGGGGGCCTGCCCAACGCCCTTGGTGGTTCAGCACTCCCAGGGGGAAGAGGTTGGGGGAGCACCATGGGCTCCTTTGTCAGACCCAGGAAGGAGAGTGGGGGCAGCTACAGGAAGTAAGGGGTGGGAAGTTCCCTCCGGAATCTATCCCCCCCAACCTCCTCCTCTCTCCCCACTTGCACAGCTCTTGCACATGCTCAGTGTGCCCAGGAATTGGGTTGGCGGGGGAGGGCACTGACTGGCACCCCCACTTAAAGGGCCAGTGCCATCCTCACTGCTCCCAGTAGGGGCAATGGTACCTGGCCACACTGTCCCCACAATTGAGTTACTTCACCTTAGATGCCCTTCCCCGCTTCCTGGCAGCTTCCTCCTGACCCATTGCACTACCTCTGCCCACTCCACCACTCTTCTTCCTTAATCCCATTGCAGGTAGGGGCTGTCCCCTGGGCATAGGAGTTTTTACCTGGGGTTGGGAAGTCCCTGATGGGGAAAAAAGGGGCATCCTAGGCCAGCCAGGCAGTGGTGGTGGAAAGCTTTAGCAATCACTCCTGTGAAGTAATTGCTCTCTAGGCCCCTGGCCCAAGCGACCAAGAGGATCCTAGACAGTAAAGGGGCTGAGGGAAGGAAGTCAGTGAGCACTTGCTGGGCAAAGGCCTGGGGCTGGGGGGTCAAACCCACCCTCCCTAGCTGAGGGCGTGTTTATGAGGAGATGTCTGTGGTAAACTGGAGCTTTGGTCATTGCAGTGGGATAGGCAGGAAGGGAAAACAGGGAGAGTCCAGAAGGGACTTGCACCTGACCCCCACCTACAGGTGACCGGGCTGTCCCTGGTACTGAGTCCCCATGATCACCATCTACACCCTTCACCTTAAGGTTGAAGCCCTGAAGTCAGGGGACCAGATTGGAGCAGGGGCTGACGTGGACACTGTTCGCTGACTCAGTCATTTCAGTCCCCCTTGACATGTCACTCACTGTAAGATAGGCAAGGCGCGCAGCGACCAAAGGAGACAGATTTATAAAGGATGCCGAACAAGGCTTTATTTGAGATATCACAGCTAACATACTCTTTGTTTTCCGCACCCTGTCCCCACCAGCCTTGTGAAAATTAACTCACCTTGGTGTTGCTCTGGCCAAGAGACCTTCAGCCATTTTGTGTTTGTGTGTGTGTAGGGGAAAGATGGCAGTCTTCCCTCTCCAGGCTCTTCAGCTCCTGGGCCAAGAAGGGCCAGACTTCTCAGCTGCCCCCTCATGGACCCAACAGCCCACCCAGCTCCCCACAGAGCCCCAACACCTTCTCCCACATGAGGCCTACATTCCACCCCCACACTCCAGCAGCCCTCTGGAATCTGCTACCCTCCTAGTAGCAAACACAGCCTCCTGCAGGGTAAACAATCTTCCTCCTRCCCTCCCCCTCCCTCAGGCTCCAGGCTCTGTTCTGAGGAATGTAGCAGCTGGAGGCTGGAGGCTGGAGGCCTGGGGTCTCAGGCTAGCACCCTATGGTAAGGCAGGCCTCTGGCTGGCTTCTCTGGAGTCTAGAAAGCCACTTCCTCCCTGAGTCTTGGGTTTCCCATCTGCAAAATGGAGACAATCATCCTTATTGCCCTTTCTCTTTTGATACTAGAGATTGAACCTAGGGGCATTTAACCACCGAGCTACATTCCCAGCCTTTTTTTTTTTTTAACAATTTTTTTTTTTTTTTTTTTTTTAGATTTTTGAGAGAGGTCTTGCTAAGTTGCTGAGGCTGGCTTTGAATTTGCCATCCTCCTGCCTCAGTCTCCTGAATCTTTGGATTACAGGCATGTGCCACCAAGCCTGCCGTTCCCTGTTGTTCTGACACTACCTAGGGAGCAAAGGGACAGAGATGAAAGCCCTGGGCCAGAGTTTCAGGGGCAGATGCCCTAGGATGGGATTTTGCCTTCTCCTGAAACCTGTTCCTTCCTCAAATGTTTTCATCTTGCTTTGTCCTAGAAGCTAGAAGGTGCTGGCCAGGCCTGGGTGTGGCAGGGCAGAAATAAAAGTTGTCCTGGCAACATACAGGATTCGTCAACATTTCCATCCCTGGCAGTTCCCAGGCCTGAGCCCTTCTCTTGCCCAGTGTGGCTGGTTTGATGAGCACCTATAAGGGAAGCCAGGCTGGGTTGGCCTGGCCTCCACTCCTCCCAGGGCTGGTGGCTGAGAAAACATGGGCTCACTGGTGAGCTCACTTCCCCCAACACCACTGAAGTTAATCTGTGTTGCGAGCCAGACACCTGGTGCCAGCCAGCAAGGACACTCAGAGGGTGATGGAACAGACAGGGTATCTGCAGGAGGGTGGGTCTCAGTGAGAGGGGAATTGGCTCATTTCAGAGCCCAATGATGGCTGGCAAGCTGGGGGCATCCGAATTCTCTCTGCCCAGGCAAAAGGCTTGCACTTCAGAGGAAACCGATCACACACATGATTAGACCGAGAGGAGCAGGATGCACACAAAGTACCAGGGGCACCAGGGGAGAAAGGTGGAGCAGCTCTGCTAAGGCACTGTCCCCTCTGCCACTTTCCTTTAATTCCCAACAGGGGGATCCTTCCCTGGAGTGCTTACTTCTTTACTAATGTCTTTCCAGGAGTTAAGGAGACAAAAACATGATGACTAACCTCAGTCCAACCCCCTGCTGGGAGGAGGGGCTGTCAAGGACAAGGAGGCACAAGTACCTGGATCTTGTCTGGCCAAGTCCTCTAAACTATGGAGAAAACACAGGGAGTAAACCCTGAAGGAACTCTGGGCTTGGACCTTCTCTAAAAGCCCAGCTCCTTCTCTTCATGGCATCTGGGAGTACCAGGTTCGGGTGGAATCTGGGGGCTCCTGCCTGAGCTCCCTCTCACCTATAAACCCTTAACACACAGAGATAGCTCCAGGACACAGGGCACATAATTCAGGCATCCTGGAGACCTTGACATGATCCTATCTAGGGGTCCACTGTCCTCCCAGGCTTGGGGGAAAGGGGGAGGGACTGGAACCTCTTTGAGATGGAAGTTTTTGTTTTTTTTTTTTTTGGCGGGGTGGGTATCGGGGATTGAACTCAAGGGCACTTGACCACTGAGCTAAATCCCCAGCCCTGTTTTGTATGTTACTTAGAGACAGGGTCTCACTGAGTTGCTAAGGCTGGCTTTGTACTCACATTCCTCCTGTCTCAGCCTCCCCAGCCACTGGGATTACAGGCCTGCGCCACTGTGCCCTTAGCCCTTGAGATGAAAGTGTTTTGATGTCAGAAGAGCTGTAGTGAAATAAATCCTAGCCACTCCCATTGGGTCTCAGCAAAACCATTTAATTTTTTTGTAAAAAGTAAGATGACATCAAAGAACCAATTGTGGAAATGACAAGGTGGAAGTCTGAACCTGTTTCAGCTGTTCTCAGGGGGCACAGTGATTTCAAGAGTGCTTTTCATTTGCCACCTGTCTCTTTGAGACCCAGCTGGCCTGAGTGGCTGAGAATCAGGACAAGGTCCACCTGGCTGGGGAGCACCCCTAGGTGCCTGGCTCCTCATGGCGGCGGCTGCCCCCTTGGTTCCACATCTCCTTCTCCTGCCGAAGCCGCTGGTTTTCAGTGCGGAGCCTCTCTACCTCGGCGGCCAGCTCCTCCACCTGGCGACAGGGCTGCTGGCCCATGCGCCCCTGCAGCTGCTGCAGCCTCCGAGTCTCCTCCTCGGCCTGCGTGAGCCTCCGCTCCAGGTCCAGGTAGTCTCTTACCAGCTCCTGCTTGCTTCGGCCCTGCAGGCTCTCAGTATGATAGCGCTCATAGGCCTCAGAGAAGTCCCTCTGCTGGAACTCGCCATGATCTTGGCCCTGCCCGTCACTGTCCCCTGCCTCACTGTCCCCGCTGGAACCTGGGTGGGACGCCCCATAGGGTGGCACTTCAAGGTTGGGCTCCTCGGGGTCTCGGTCATTCATGAGAAACTGGGTGGTGTTGTAGGGCGCCACAGGCTGGCCTTTGGCAAACATCTCCTCGCGGACCCTGGAGGCCCTCTGGCTCTGCCTCTCATCTCGCTGCTGCTTCTCTGCCCAGCTCAGCTCCAGGTAGGGCCTCCAGTGCCGCTTGCGCTTGGATGGCCTCCTCCGGTGCTTCTTCCGGCCCAGCACGGCCTCTACTGAGCAACCCCCTGGGCTCTGGGTTTGGGGTCCACCACAGTTCCAGCTCAGGCCACCGGCAGCCTGGGCAAGATCTTCATCCTCTGAATGGCTCTTTTTTCGTGGTGTCAGGGACACGGAACTGCCACAGTCATGAGACTTAGTGGGTGTTTGGGGGCTCCCTGAATCACCAGAGGTCTAAAGAGAAAGTGGGGAGGCAAGTTGGATCACAAGCAGCTTATCCTTGGCCATGGAACCCTCCCCTGACCACCCAGCCTGAAGCCCCGCACAACTCACCTGGTCATTCTATATTCCCTCACCCTTTTGCAATCATTTACCTGTCTACTGTCTGTGCCCCAACCTTCCCCAAGTAAACTCACCGGAAGAGCAGCATTTTACCTGAGTATTATCTTATCTTTTCAATGCCTAGAACAATATCTGACACAGAGTAGGAGTTCCACAAATACTGTCTGAATGAATGGAGGAGAGGGAGCAACCTGGGATAGAAGATGGCCCCTGAGGCACTTGCTTGATCAGAAACCCAACTTGCTTTTCCCTCTTTCCAAAAAGCATGTCTTTCAAATGGAGCAGGCTTTGTGGGAACACAACCTATGTGCTTGCACAGAGGCCCACATTCAGAAAACCCCCCATGCTTAGCTTGATGCTATTATCCCTGTCTTGAAGTCCTTAATAACCTTTGAACAAGGGACCCCACAAATCATAAAGCCAATCCTGCTTCCAGCTCTTTGCAATGGTCAACTCTTTCTCATCCTTTAGGGCTCAGTTCCAGTGCTCCCTACTCAGGGAGGCCTTCCCTGTCCACCATACCGAAGGCAGCCCCTCCCCAGTGACTTTGTATCACATCATGCACTTAACATCCCACAAAGCATTTAGCATGTTATCATTTATCATTGGTCTTCTTTCCCCTGAGAATGTGTCTTGTCTATTCAGTTCACCTCTTTACCCGATGCATGAAACAGGGCAAGTGCTCAAGAAATATTTGTTAAATGAGCCAGGCATGCGCCTGTAATCCCAGTGGCTTGGGAGGCTGAAGCAGGAGGATCGTGAATTCAAAGCCAGCCTCAGCAACAGTGAGGTGCTAAGCAACTCAATGAAATGCTATCTCTAAATAATATCTAAAATAATAGGGCTGGGTATGTGGCTCAGTGGTTGAGTGCCCCTGAGTTCAATCCCCAGTAACCCTCCCCACAAAAAATTTTTTATTAAGTGCTTAAAGCTTGGGCTGGGGATGTGGCTCAAGCGGTAGCACGCTTGCCTGGCATGCGTGCGACCCGGGTTCAATCCTCAGCACCACATACCAACAAAGATGTTGTGTCCGCCAAAAAAATAAATAAATATTTAAAAAATTCTCTCTTTAAAAAAAAAAAGTGCTTAAAGCTTATAAGATAGAGGGATCCAAAAGATGTTGGAAAATGAGACTCTATTTTTCTAGGGTAAATAAGATGGAGTGTGTTTATCTCAGGCAGAGTTGTATCACTCTTTTGTTTTTTTTTTTGGTTCCAGAAACTGAACCCAGGGATGCTCAACAACTGAACCAAGTCCCCAGCCCTTTTTTATTTTGAGACAGGGTTTCAATAAGTTGCTGAGGCTGGCTTTGAATTTGCTATCCTTTTGCCTCAGTCTCCCAAGCTGCTGGGATTATAGGTGTGTGTCACCATGCCTGGCTATATCACTCTTCTGTGTGAGTGGCAGAAAGAGGTCCTAACCAAAGGAAGGAAGGGTCAACTCCTTTCTGCAGTCAAGAGTTCCAGAACTTGCAAGAGGTGGAAAGGATCTGTCAAGAGAGCATATGTGTGCTCAGGGCATCTGCTTATCTCTGTTGTGGTGAGCTTGGGAGTACTGAGTGTGGGGGATGGGGATAAATTGCTCTAAGTTTGTGGTTTGAGGGATTTCTAATAATAAACACAACAATTGGCATCTTGTTTTATAAAACACAACATGATTCTGAGCATGGGTCCCTACAAGTGTAGGAAGTGTTTTGAGGGATGTGGTATTGGCAGCCCTGGAGAACTAGGACTGTTCATTTGTGTTGCTGAGACCCTAGGGAGAATTTCAGGGGAAAGGAGGTATGTTTGAATAAGAGTGTGTATGTGTGTGTGTTGTGTTACTTTACCTACAGGGAGATCACCCATCATGAATGACAGGCCTCAACCACCAGGGGATTGGGCCAACTAAAGCAGAATTGCTGCCCCACCCACAAGAGGCAAGGCCACAGAGAACTCTGTAGCAGGTTGGCTTGTTTGTGTCATAATCATTCACCTGCTCCCAGCCCTCAATAAATGTCCCCTGGTAATCCTTCCCCCAACCCAAGCCAGCTCTGCCACCAAGCCCCACATGTTGCCTCCCTCCTGAAGGCTTATCCCTCTATCACCATTATCAATATCAGAGATAAGCTGTGTGACCTGAGTGAGTCATTTGCCCTCTCTGAACCTGGTAGCCCTGACATACCAGGAATTCCAAATTCAACAAATCCAAGAAATACTGAAAGTGGTTATGCAGGATAAATTGGAAGCTTCTCTGACCCCCAAATCTCTGATCTATAGGAAACAGTGGGCCAGGAGAGAATGGGTACAGAAGGGTAGTGAAAAAGCATGAGCCAGGAGGGTTTGGGCTCCTGCTGCCAGCCCAGAAGGTATTCTCTGAGGGCCTGATATCAGTCTGTTTCCTCTTCCTTGGATTATAGCCTAATCCAAGGAAGAGGAAACGAAACAATCCTAACCCCTGAACTCCACTGCAAAATTTGAACCCCATACTTTTTCCTGCTGTAGACTTGGGTCTTAGCCTGGCCAAAAGGCAAATATTCAACCAAGTTATTTGTCCTTGAAATCAAGGCAAGGACCTGCAGTCAGAGGTCCTAAGTTTAAACACTGGATCTGCTGCTTGTCAGTGGCATGATTCTGGAAAAGGTATTTCAGCTCTCAGAACCTTAGCTCCTGTAAATTGGAAATAATTCCTAAGTTGAAGGGCTTCTAGGAGTTCATGAGACAACACAAATTTAGCACCTAACCTATCACCCAGGGATAAGAGACTCATTTAAAAAACAGGTTTTTCAAATCTATCAACACATCTGAGACAAGAAGCTAGGATCCCAGAAGGCAGGTCCCAAGTGACTTGGAGGGTGGGCGCTTACCTTGGCCTCCTCCAGGGCTGCTGGTGACTTGGTATTACAGTTGGTCTGATTCAGAGTGGCCATCTTTTTCTTCTCCCAGTCTTTCAGCAGATGCCTTTAACTAGTCACACCTGCTTTGAACAACAACAGAAACCTAAGTCCTGAAGGAAAATTCTCAGGAAGAATCTGGCTGCCCAGGAATTGTTTGTCCGGGCAGCGGCAGCCATTTTGTAGCACCAGACTTGCCCACCATTATTTTTAAACGAAGGCCCTAAAGCCTGCCTTCATGTCCTGGTTTTCACACCTCCAACCAGAGTGGGGCCAAATGGGTTTAAGGGGCTATCTTCCTAGTCTGTTCCACAAGGTCCCAGGCCAGGGCTAATGTCCTACACTGCCTTTTCATGTAAGTCACTGAGGCCTGGGTTGGCAGCTAGGAAACGTAAGACTAAATTTTGCTCTCTGCCAAAAACGTGACTGCCCCGAAGGACTGGGAACGAGGTGGGTTTGTGGCTCCAAGAAAACGGGGTGCAAGCTCTTGGAGCCCCGAGTCTCCACTGCAGTCCCGACCCCACCTCCTCCCCAGGCAGGGATCCAGAAGGCAAAGTCTCTGCAACCAAGACTGGGACCCCGGAGAGCCTGAGCTGAGGCCTTTTTGTCTRCAGGGCCTGGCCTGCTTCCCTCCTTCTCCTCAGGACGGGAAAGAGAGGAAGAGGAAAAGAGAAGTCTTCGCACTACATGCAGCTGGGAGGGAAAACCCAACTGGGTTAAGGATGGATTTCTTGGAAAAGGGGAAATAATCATGGAAGGGAGGTTTTTTGCAAAGGTGGAACTGACCTATTTGCTGTCAAGAGCTATGCACACGACTACCTCTGTGTGTCTTTCTGTGCGAACGCCTGTCTGAAATTCCCAACGCCTCAGCCCTACCTCTTGCTGCAGTTGCAGCAGTTCTGACCAAGCTGCTCAGGCACTAAGGTTGAGGGGAGGGGACAGCCTTGAAGCGCAAGGCCTGCTGGGGATTGTAGTTCTTCCAGACTGGAAATGCAACCCAAGGTCCTGTCACGTCAACAACCACACCCGGAACTCTAAAACCCATCTACCCTTGCGCGGGTGGCGTCCCGCGCTCTCCGCTGTCTTCTTTGATTGGTCAAATGATCTGCCAATAATTTCAYTTTCTTCAACGATTAGCGGTGCGGAAGCACAACCGGATCCACCCATTCCGAACTCAATTAAAGAGTTCATTGATGGCGTTAATCTTTACGGGGCAGAAAATAGATCCGGCTGAGGGGGGAGGGGCTACGCGCGCGGAGGGATCCCAGGCCCTTGAGGAAGGCGACGAGAAGCTCGGTGGCCGCCGCCGCCATTTTGGGCTGGGAGGAGGCAGCGGAGGGACTCGCTGCGCAGTGAGAGCACCCCATGGGGGGTGGTCCGGGCGCGGGGAGAGGCCGGGCCGAGTGGGCTGTCTGAAGTGGCGGCGTCGGGAGACGGCGGGGAGTGGGACCAGGGGCCGGGGAGGGTGAAGGTTGGAGTCTCTCCCGCCGAGCCCGGCCCTCAAACTGTCCCGGCAGCCCCGCAGCTTCGCCGCTCACGTAGGACGGGATTCTTGGCTGATTATCGCGTGTTTCCTGAGACCCCAACAGGACAGTGGCTGGGGAGACGCCTACCCTTTGCTGTCCTCCCACTGGGGCGCTGGTCTCGAGACCGATTTCAGCCAATGCCTCTCCCCACCCCCACTCGGCCTGGGCATGGTGGCGGGGCCCAGCTTAGCGGGACCTCCACTTCGTCTAAGTAGGGGCGACGCCAGATTTCAGGCACTGGCGCCAAGGGGAAGGGCGGAGGTTGCCGCTCTGGTCGCCTGTGCCCCAAGTGTGGTAGTCTGCTGAAGGCTTCGAGGGCTGAGTCCGGAGCACCTTTCCGCACCCAACCCCCACCCCATACACCAAAGCCACCCCGCCTCCCGGGCTGCGAAAAGGAACTGTCCTCTAAGTATTGTAGCAACCATCAATTCCCTTGAGACACCTAGATGGGGCGGGGGACAGTGGGAAGACAACCTGCAGCCTCAGTGCTTGGGGATCGCTGAGCACTCTTGCCCTCAAGTTAGTTTTCTCCCATCCAGCCCKGGTTCTCGGAATGACCTGGCCTTACCCGTCGCCAGCCACTTTTGGAAACTCCTAAAGTGTGCTGTCCCACTTCTCTTGAAAGTTTACACCAAAGGGATGAGGTTCAACCCTTTACGGGGTTGGAACACACAATAATTCAGAATCACCATGGCCCAGAATAAAAATGGAATGGCCCTTTTGAGATGCTTAAAAAACATCTGTCTACGTTTTGAAATCCGAGCTGTAACTTGTGGAGGAATGGCTGCCCTCCTAAAGGGAAAAAAAGAACTAATTCCATTGTAATCTCTGTAAGACTACAAGATCTTTCCAGTTTAAAAAATTTTGTTTCACAGACTAAACAAAATGGGGGAATATTTTGCATGCCACTAATGCATTGTTAAGAGAGAATCTCCTGTAGATCTAAAAGCCACAAAAGTAGGAATGGCAGTTTTGATCTACTTAAATAGTTGGCATTTAGGAGGTGTGGGAAACCTGTTTTGAAAGAATAAACTCAACCCTAAATTATAGCTGTATCAGCTTCTTAAAGACTGAAAAAGTTTGATATGAAGTTGTATTGAATTAAACTTCTTTTTGTGTGTGTGTGGGGGGTGGATAGTACTGGGGACTAAACCCAGAGTTGCTCTACTACTAAGCAACATCCCCAGCCTTTTTATATTATTTTGAGACAGGATCTCACTAAGTTGCCAGGCTGGCTTAGAACTTGTGATTCTTCTGCCTTAGCAGCCAGAGTCACTGGGATCACAGGCCTGTGCTACCARGTGCAGCCAGATAAAACCATCTTATTTCCTACTGCTTGAGAGCTAAATTTCAGAGAGATTTGTGACTCAGGGATATCTCTAAATCATAGTTTGTCGCTAAAATGTCACTTGAAATAATGCCTAAGTAGGCTCTGAAGTAGGCGGGTGACTGGCCAGGGAACTTTGCCTCTGTAGGTACCTTGTGATTAATTATCATTTCTAGTTACAGATGGTTAAATTGTTCCTAAGCCTTTGACTTTAATAGCAAAAACCAAGAACCCTGAAAATTTCTTCAGAATTGGAGTGCTGCTGCTCCTATTAGTAGTTTTCCTTAAGTCATATGAGTGGCAGTTTCATAGCTTTAACTSTTTTCTTCCTCCACTCCTCAGATGTTCTCAGAGATTTTTTTTTTCTTTTTTTGGTACTGGGGTTTGAACCCAGGTATGCTTTACCAATGAGTTACATCTCCATATCATTTTATTTTTTGTTTTGAGACAGGGTCCAGCTAATCTGTTTAAGACTTTGCTAAATTGCTGGGCATGGTGGCGTATGCCTGTAATCCTGGTGGCTCTTAGGAGGCTGAGGCAGGAGGATCTCAAGTTCAAAGCCAGCCTCAGCAACTTAGTGAGGCCCTAAGCAATTCAGGGAGACCCTGTTTCTAAATAAAATATAAAAAAGGGCTGGGAATGTAGTTCAGTGGTTAAGTGCCCCTGGGTTCAATCCCTGATACCAAAAAAAGAAAAAAAAAAACCTGCTAAATTACTGAGGCTGGCTTTGAATTTGTGATCCTCTTGCCTCAGCATCCTGTGCTGTTGGAATACAGGTGGGCACCATTGCACCTGGCTTCTCAGAGAAATCTTAAAACTGGACTGCAAAAATAGATTCACCCTTATTTTTTTWAATAAATTTTTAAAAAATATTTATTTTTCAGTACTTGGCGGACACAACATCTTTGTATGTGGTGCTGAGGATCGAACCCGGGCCGCACRCATGCGAGGCGAGCACGCTACCGCTTGAGCCACATCCCCAGCCCCATAGATTCACCCTTGAGAAGTATTCCCCCCACCCGTCAGTATTTGGGATTGAACCCAGAGGTGCCTTACCACTGAACTACTCACCAATCCTTTTTATTTTGAGACAGTCTTTTCAGTGGCCCAGGGTGGCCTCAATTTGGGATCCTCCCACCTCAGCCTCCAGAATAACTAGGATTACAGATGTATACCAYCATACCTGACTTGACTGGGGTCCTTTTTTTTTTTTTTTTAAAGAGAGAGTGAGAGAGGGGAGAGAGAGAGAGAGAGAMTTTTTAATATTTATTTTATTTAGTTCTCGGCAGACACAACATCTTTATTGGTATGTGGTGCTGAGGATTGAACCCGGGGCCGCACGCGTGCGAGGCGAGCGCGCTACCACTTGAGCCACATCCCCAGCCCTTGACTGGGGTCCTTAATCCAAAATTTGAACCACTTAATTCCTAACTGAAACATCAGTACACTTGATTCATCCTGTAGTTTGATTTTGGGCACATTCAACTACACTGATCAAGAGAAGATGAGTAAGTTTACTAAGTTGGAATCAAATAGTCATAGGAGCTGAAAGGGTTATTTTTGTAGTTCTTTTGTCAAGAATTTATTGGAGGAGGATTAGCCTCTTGTGATTCATCCTCCATTGTGAAGCATTCTAGTTAAACCTTTGGATGCTAAGTGGTGATACTGCATCAGGTACAGAAATTTGTTACTTATTTATAAATAAAAGTTAACCATTTTTAAGGTTGACTTAGAAGCTTTTCCATTCCTTTGTAAAAAAGTTGGGAATAAAACCAGTTTATTAGCCAAGCATGGTGGTGCATTCCTGTGCTTAGTTACTTGGGAGGCCAAGGTAGGAGTGCAAGTTTAAGTCCAGCCTGGGCACCATAGTGAGACTGCCTTCTCAAACAAACAAAAGAGTTTATTAATGGCCCCCTGGTAACCTACTGCACAAAAACACAGGCCTATGCTTGGAGGTTAGGAACTTAAAAAGTTCTATTTCTGTACACACTACCACTGATTGGTTGGCTTGGCTAGAGGCCAAATCCTGATGATGAGGCCAGTCATTTGTTGAGCCTGTTCATCCAATGTCCAACCAGACCTTCAACTTCCTCCTCAGCTCTCCCCTTACAAATGAGTTTCTACAAGCCTGTATGCCTCAGTTTCCTAATTTGAAAATGATGTCAGTGCTACCTCCCAACTTCTCAAAAAATTTTTAGGATGCAAGCCAGGTGCAGTGACACATGCCTGTAATCCCAGCGGCTCTGGAGGCTGAGGCAGGAGGATCAGGAGTTTAAGCCAGCCTCAGCAATTTAATGAGGCCTTAAATAATTCAGTGAGACCCTATCTAAATAAAATACAAAAAAGGACTAGGGATGTGGCTCACTAGTTAAGCACCCCTGGGTTTAATCCCTGGTACCACCAAAAAAAAAAAAAAAAAAGTTCAGGGTACATGTCAGTGATAGAGTTGTTTCCTGGCATGCTTGAGACCCTGGGTTCAGTCCCCAGTGCTGCCAAAACAACAGAAAAGGCAGCTGGGGGCTGGGGCTGGGGCTCAGTGGCAAAGCGCTTGCCTAGCATGTGTGAGGCACTGGGTTCGATCCTCAGCACCACATAAAAAACGAAAGCATTCATCCATCTACAACTACAAAAAAAATTAAAAAAAAAAGTTGGGAAGCCTGTCTTCCCAAGTATGACCATGGCTTTCCAGAAAAGACTAGCCATCCAAGTAAAAGGAAATGTATGAGCTGCCAGCCTTGGCAACATAGTGAGACCCTGTCTCAAAAAGGACTGGGAATGCAGCACAGTGGTAAGAATACTTGCCTGTCATGTGCTGGAGAAAAATGTTATGATGTTGTGCAGTGGGCTGAAGTTGTAGCTCAGTGGTAGAGAGCTTGCCTAGCATATGTGAGGCACTGGGTTCAGTCCTCAGCACCATATTAAAAAAAAAAAAAAAAGGTATTGTGTCCATCCACAACTAAAAAGAGCTTAAAA